TAGACCAGTAAAAGCAATTCCACTTTCCCCTTTGGAAGTTCAATTTCTACCAGAAAAGGCTGAAGAGAAAACCCAGCTCTACTTTTCATACCATCACAAAGCATCTGTGACAAGGGGGACCTCAGGAACAAAAAAGAGTTTCATTACGATTAATCAATTCTTATCCTCCTAAAAAGCTACTAACAAAAACCAGTATCATAAGTGTTGTGATTAATCCGCCATAAGCCTAAATAGTTAGCAGTAGTACACAATACAAACAACTCTTCATAGTCCTAGACTCTATGGAGCAAGTCACAGGCCCAAAAGGTAGTTATCCCTTGGCTCTTCCAGCTGCAGAGGCTTTCGGAAATAGCATGTTTAGCCCTATTTCCATGTACAATACTATTCTGCCATGTCAACTTTCAACCTGTGGCCAATTTCAACCAAGTATGGCAGGCCAAAGATCTCAAGGATATGAAGTTCCTTGAATTTTTGTCAAAAATTAAGAGGATGAAAGGGTCACATGAACAAGAGAAAAGCCAAGCTGCTAGCTCCATCGGGCATCTGTTCTAGGTCCTAGCAAAAATTGATAGCAAAAAATCAACATGTGCTTAGCTCAGAACCAGCCACAGCATATGCCAGCTTTTGCCCCATGAATAATAAGAATCTGAGGTTACTGGAGGTGGGTAAATGAAAAGTTTGAAGGCAAAAAAAATTAAGTTTCATTCGTTCTTTTTTGACACTGTAGCCACCCCATCAAATTTGTGTTCCTCTCAAAATTTCACATTTGAAAGTTAACAGCACAAATATTCCAGAGATACCAAGTCTTATAAAGACATGCACCAGATTTTCATGAAGGAGCAGTTTCAGTTCATGTCAGAACACGTTTGTGTGTTAGCACAGGAATTCCTGACCTGAATCTGAAGCCAGCCACTGAACCGAGGCACAAGCAAGGTGCCACCACGCGGCACAAGCAAGGTGCCACCGTGAGTATTTTAGCTTAGAGAAGGAAAGAGTTTTATCTTTGAAATTTGTCTTCCGTCTTTTACAAACATAGTATCTTTGATAATACTCATAATGCTGAAGTCATTAACACCTGCTTCAGTTGGCAGTTCCTGTGGACAATTACAAAGTTATACGATGATGTCTGGAATGCCCTGTCTAGCTTTTGATCTATGACTGAGATGGCACATAGACAAATAAAACATAAGGAGCATGCCAAACAATTTAAAAAAGAACCTGAAAACTATGTTAAAGGCCACTTAGGATCTAGCTTAATTTCTGTAAGGGAGCTTTCCGTTGGCATAATGCAGATCTTGCCTACATTTGCATAACAGCTTTCCACTAAGGTAGTCAGTTGTTTTTGGCATGATGCCTGCTTATAAACCGAATGAAAATAACCTTTAAACCATCTTTTGCAGCCATTGCAGCATGAACATTTCCTTTAATCTAGTGGAAGGCTGATAAATGGGACAAATCTTCCAAATTGCTTGTCATCTCTGCCATATGTAATGAGCAAACCCAAGATTCAGCCTTAACCTTGCCCACCCCTTTTTGAATATATATAAACCCAAGATATTATTCCAGAGGTTTTTTTTGCTCTTTTTTTTTTCCTCTTTTTTTTTCTTTTATTTTGCAAGCCAAGGAAGATGTTTTGGAAACCTCTGTTATATGGGAAGCCTGACAGCAGCAAAGAATTCACATCTGAGGAGTGATTTCCACCTGCTTCATCCCCCCGGGAAGTAATCCTAACTCTAACCTCAAACAGCCACGTAGCTGCCTCCATTCATGAAAAAGAGAGGAATACCAATGTTATGGACTGTCAGACATGAATACAAAAGAAAAGACCCACCTACATTAGCCTTTAGACTAACTTCTCTAAAAGTCTGATTAAAAAAAACCATAGGAATCTTATTAATTAGATACATGTACGCAATTAGCATCAAGTTATTCTATCAGATTATATGAAGACGACATTCTAGCTAAAAGACAATGTATCCGATAAAGTAAAAAAAGACATTAATAAGATTTCAGTTTTATCAAAATAAGCTTGATTCCTTGAAATTCAGCTCCTGCTATGTAGAGTTGAAAGTATCCTAAAAAACTCAATATTCCTAAAACTGCATTTGGGGGTGGGGTGGGAAGTGGAAGGGGAGGAAAACAAGCACACACCACTGTCCCATTTCTTCCATGGTACCATGCTTGCGTGAAAAGAAGCCAGAACAGTTTTAGGCTGAACTTTGTAAACTACCCATTTATAAATGAAACTGGTTCTTTTTTGACTGAAGATATAGGATACTGCAGTGCTGCAAACTACATTAATATGTAGTGTAAGTATTGAAGTTGGAAAACAGTACTTTGCCCCAAAAGAAGCTTAGAGGGTGGGTTGGATTTTAAGATTGGTTCAAACTCTTTGCTTTACTCTTTATAGATTTATAGTAACAAGTTATAGTTAAACTGTTTTATTGCACAGAAGATAAAATAGAATTACATATAGAACATAAAACCATGCAAAAACTAATGTGTTTTACAAAGTACTTAAAGTGTCAACTATAAATTAAACCATAAATCAGTCAAAACTGCAACATCCAGGAAGAAACAATTACAGATGTAAGTGTTCACTCTTTAGTCAAAAAACAATTACTGCCATATGCTTGAAGTTCAGAGGATTTTTTTGTGTGTGGTTTTGTTTGTTTGTTAGTTTTTAAAGAAGTGCAGCACCAATATAACTAGTTAACCTGTCGCATGCTTATAGAAAGTGCATTTTCAATGTTAAAATCCCATTCCATGTGTAGCAGAAGCATATATAAATTATTTTATATCAGAATTCTGGGAAGATTTCACTCAATTTGCTCTTTACTCACTTTACATTATAATGAACATTTACATAGTAGGTACACAACTCTTTCAAAGTGCTCACAAGCATTTTTTTAATATCAATTATGGAAAGTCTATTGTTACAACATGAAACTTCTAAAATAAGTAGCTTTATTTTCTAGATAGCAGATTAATGGAGCTTCTTACAGGAAAATTTTAATCAGGACATTCTAAAAAAGCTAACTGAAGTAGACTTGATAAATTTTACTTTCAAAAATGTTTTTCTTCACACATTTGATATAGGGATTCACCCTGTTTCCCTCCCCCCATCCGTATCTTGATAAAGAGATAGTTTAACTTATACTAACTGTGGTCCTTCAAGATTTACTATCCATACATATTCCAATCAAGACACAGAAGTATCCTGTGCAGATGCATTTCTGGCCTGTATTGTTCATTGACAACCATACCTGTGCCCCATCATTCAACTAATAGTCCAGGGAAGGGAGACTACACAATGTCTTATAACTTCACAAACAGAATCCAGGAATTTAAGAATTAACAGGAAGGAAAACATGCTATAGTGCAGATACGCAAAATACATAACTTAAGAACTTGCTTTGTTGCAAGCTAGGCAACTGTCTCATCTTGTTCTTGTTCATTTATTCCAGCAGTGACAATGCATCTGATGTAAACTACTACAAGGATCCTAAGTAACACCTAATCCAACATAGCTAGAAAAGGGCTAGGAAAATTTTGGCTCAACACATATTGACCCTCTACCACTTACACACCACATGAAAATGGCCTAGTTTAAAGTAATTCTGCAGGTGCAGAAGTCCTCCTACTTTCTGCTTTTCTAGGAGCTGTGATTTCAGCTGAAACAGTTTCTGGGTCAGTAGGAAAGGATAACATTGTGAGTAGCCCAAAAAGAAACATTATCAATCCTTTTATAATCATACTGGATCCAAGAGATTTGAGTTGTCAGAAGCGTTATGCATTTTAATAAAATGTGGTACTGTGGGAGGGAATAAAAAGAAAGGCCCATGTATCCTAAACCAGAGGGTGGTTAACCAAGATGGAGATTATATACAGACTATTAGGAAACCTTGTCAGTCCAGACCAGTTATAGATGATCTAGTGCATCTAATCAGCATTTGAAAGTCATTAACAAGACACAGTAACTATACAGTAATTTCTTCTTCTTTTAGCAAATACATAGCTCTGGTAGTGTTCTGTAGGCTGTCAGAAATATTTTTGTCTTCTCTTGCAAATGATCTCTGCAAATTTAGCCTTTTATCTGAAATATATGATAGAACTCCAGTGCCACAGAGAAATACCAAGTGCCACTAATACAGGGTTTACCAATATCACAGCTATTAGCTTTGTGAAATTTAGTGCTGTCTGACAAATATCAGACAGTTCTTCAGAATCTGAAGAGAAATGGTAATATAAAGGAGGGAAACTCATTTGAGTTATATGGGGGGCATCCAATAGTAATTTCTAAACTTTAATCAAAACAGCTATAATTTATAGGGTTCCTATAAAGGAGATATTTGTTTCTCAAAGATTAAGAGTACTCCCTATCACCATGTGAAGGGAAATAGAGCTAACGAGAAGTACTTTTCTTTCTCTCACTCAAGAAAATTGTTGGGATTTTTTTGACTGACCAAAAAGGCAGTATTATTTCTAAGTAAAAGAATTCAGTTATTTCAGGTTTTTAGATCATTGTAATAGATTTTTAAAAAAATATTTTAAATCACATATTAGTAGGTTCAGATTTCAGTTCTTTTCAATTTTATAACTGAAATACAATCAGATGACATTTAAATGTGTGTTGCAAGATAACGATTAGTCATAAATCATTTAAAATACTGTTAAGTCATATTAAACAAGTACAGTCTTAAATATAAAGTAGTCTTAACATTTGCTTTAACTAAACATTTTGTTATAATAGATGATTTTTATGAATTGTTAAGAGGAGCATATCTATAAAGGTCTCACATTCACAGTAAGATTTCTGCTGTTTTAGAGGCTAAGCATACTGTATTTCTCACATATGGACACTCTCCCACTAATCTGATGAAGGCAGATATCCTACCATCAGTCTATTTGACCACTTCAAATTGGTCACAAAGCACAATGTAAAATTTTACCACAACCACAAACTTATCATGTAACCAATGCAAATTATCAAAACATACCCGTTTTTTCCGATGTTCTGAGAAACACCATGTCAGATGGGATTCGCTGATTCTGAGGAGAGGAGAAAAAAGGTATATTTTTTGTAAGTAGGAAAAAAGTTAATTCCAATCAAATGTCCAGTAAGATCTATCACCAAAAGGTCACACTTGGATTGAAACTCAATTAAAACGGGATTTCTCACAGTACTTTACATTCAGCATTTGCAATTCAGAAATCAATATTTTCGAAAAATTATACAATAAGCAAACAACAGGTAATCCTTTCAGATGCTCTTTATAAGCGAATCATAAATACCTGAAGAACTACGACAGATTTACATTTTCTTGATTGAAAACAGTAGTTTGAGAATATAAATATCTAATTGAAATATTTTTTAAAATTTCACTGAGCAAAACTCTGACACTCAGTTAGCATATATATTAGAAAAGAGTGATATTTAAAACACCTGCCTTGGCACTCAAGTTGCAAACATCATGTATATCAAGTATTCTCCTCTCTCCCAACACACACAAACATACACAGAGGAAACAGCAAGTCAGGGAACAGCATTTTCCTATTTCACATATCTATAAACCTCTCCTTTACTAAGACAAAAATAAATAGAATTTCTTCCTCAATATGTAAGGCATAGAGCCATATGCACAGTCAGATGCCTCTGCACACCTGTTCTGCCATTTCCCTTTCAAGCACAGAACTATCTGTATCAAATCACATTTTCAATTTTTGTTGTCCACAAAGAGGCCAATCTAAACGTTTGCAGATTAAACAAAATGAACAAGACCACCCTCCCACACACATACTATCTGCTGCATGAGTACCCAAATCCTTAGCTCTCCCACTACTTGCTCACAAGGCATCTACCAGCACCACTTACACATTGCCAACATAGGGTTTAAGAATGAAAAGCTGGGGGAAGTAAAAATAACCAACATGTCAAAACCTGAGAGAGATACAGGACTGGAAAGGAAAAAAGCAACAGGCTAAGCTGACAGGGACCAGAGTGAACAGAGCAATGAGAAAAGATACCATACTGAACTGCAGCTTCTTCCATCACAACTTCTGTCCAGTATGCCACATGTTGTGTTGTTTGATACTGAAGCTAAACACAAAGATTCATTTGCATTTCATTTACAGACTATGGTTAACCAATTAAGACATCTCAGTGGATTATTAGCTACGGCTTTACTAGTTTCAGGCTAAAAAATATTTCTTAATATTCATTTCAGATTACTTGTTAAGAGGATATAACACACATTTTTCACATAGAAGGTACCTCCATTTGAGAATAAATTTCAGGTTTTCCTGCTATACTTGGTGGATATTGCCTTGAAAGCCACTCCATACTTAAGGTTCATCTTTTATTTTTTAAGAGCTAAACTGTCTATTTGAGTGGAAAAGAAAATAAATGTAGCTGACAAAGCCCACCACATGGCATACATGAACCTCGGATTTCAGCCTTAAAAACCTGACTGAATTTACTGAACATAAACAGTTAAGAAGCATGTTCAGTATGTGAGCATTTGAAAACTACACAATTATTCCCTATTTCACACTTCAATTATAATAAAAATACAAAATTAATACATCAATAACAATTCAATTGCGGCTCTATTTTGTACATAAACTACCAGCTATAGAAAACTGGTTAGTTATTTTATACAGAAGAAACAGCAATGAAGACAGGGTCAAGCTAACCCGAAAACTTCAATTCAAGGCAGTAAGCAATGGAACATCTCATGTGCTGAACGCAGCATACAGAATTCCAACTGTAAATTTTATAAGGGTAATCCTAGTCAGGATACTTTGATTCACTGTATCAAAGTGGAAGATACGAATTCTATGGGTTATTAGAAAGATGTAATGATCAAAGAAAAATGCAATGGTTCAAAATTATCTTTATGTGAAATTCAAGTGCATTCAGCATGTAGCAGCTCTGAATGTACTTATCCCAAAAGGAATCTAGGCAACAGCCCAGACCACAGCATCAGCAAACACATTCAAAAACCTCCTAGAAGAATCAACACAAATACAGAGCGGTATTTTTGGTCATTTGAGTCAAGCCAGTCCTCCATCTCAACATTTAAGGACACAATACTGCTATGAACAGAAGAGAAACCCAGCATTCTCAAACTGGCTTGATTTGAAACCAGATATGTAGTTACTCATTTTTAACCCTCCACCTTTTATTCTTTTGAAGGCACCACTTCCCCTTTGTCACTGCATGTCAAAAGAAAAATCTTAGAAGTACATACAATAAAACAGCTCAAAATACATCCGTCAAGATAATTAAACACTGCTCTGTATGACACTTAGTGTGGGGGACCTTCAAAATACTACGCCTGACTACCCATAAAAATCAGTTCAGAGAGTGAAAAAATTCACATGTTCTCACTCATAATGGAAAATAAATGTGTATTTACACCAGACAACACCACTGAAGAAGCTGATGCTTTTTCCAGTATATAATGCTGTACTCTAACATTTGCCTTGGTTCTTGAAAAGCCACACTCTTATAGCAACTTTATTTCTGACCACAAGACATCCTGGATACTGTAGGCAAAGTCTTGAATTACTCCAAAGAAGCCTTCCTGAGATCAGCATGCAGCCACAACAGTGCCATTTGGAATAGTGTGATCTGAACAGATCTATCAGAGTCAACTGCCAGATTCTGTGTTATATGGGCTCAGCTTTCAGAATAAGATGATGTAAACCCTCTAAATCTCTGGGAGGCAGGTACCTTTTGCCACTCCCTGTAACATACTCTCAAGGACACCAATTCAGAAGCGGGACTGGTTGCAGTGCAACTGTATTCTCTATTGATGGGAAGTTCGGTATAGAGGGGCCATGAAGGGCTACAGAGATAGTATTATCTCAAGCAAACAAGATGGTTGGAAAACAAGCAAGTTTGGAAACACTAGAAAATAGACGCATGTTCTGGTTTACCTATAAATCCTATGCTGTTAGCAAAAAAAACTCCTCATACCTTAAAATTATGCTTTTTCATGCATGGATACTTCCTGGTTTGCAGCAATTCCCGCTTATTTGTAAAAGCACAAAGAGTTAAAAATTCATGTGCTTGTCTGTATGTCAACAGTACTCACCTTGAAGAGGCTGCTCACCTGCAACTGCAGCTAGTACAGCATTTTTTGGAATCTTGCCTTATATCAGAAAATAATTAAACATGTAGTGAAATTTATTATCCATCATGAGCCCAGATTCAACCAGGAATATCTCATATTCAGATTTGGAAAAAACTGCAGTAAAAACATTAACCTTAATATGTATTATTTTGCACCTATTCGAGGAAAAAAAGAGGAAAGGGAAAATGCAACTTCAGAATTAAATAAATCTTTCCTTAAATGACAATAACAATTAAACAGATATCCAGTCTTCATATAGATTAGCTATACATTTCTGCAGCTGCCCTGCCAGCTCTGACATAAATCCATTACACAAGTTTCAGGTTACTGGCTTCATGCCTACAAACTTCCAGTTACTTGTAAACAAGCTAACACACTTGACCAACACCCAAAAATTTTGCAAAAATAACAGTCAAATGATCTAATACTGAATTAAATAGAAGTTCTAATAATCCGAATGAGGTATGTTTTTACATATCATTACCAACTTCCACGGAGAACGCATGTTTCACATTCAGTAAATAAAATATTCACCTGGTACTTGCTATCCAAGATCCAAGTCTTTATGTCTGACAAAATTGGGCAGAATCACAGAATATCTCAAGTTGGAAGGGACCCATAAGGATCATTGAGTCCAACTCCCTGTTCCTCGCAGGACTACCAAAACCTAAACCATTTGACTAAGAGCATCATCCAGATGCTCCTTAAACTCTGACAGGCTTGGTGCCATGACGACTTCCCTGGGGAGCCTATTCCAGTGAGCAACTACCCTCTCAGTGAAAAGCCTTTTCCTAATGTCCAAACTGAACTTCCCCTGATGCAGCTTCATTCCATTTCCTCATGTCCTATCGCTGGTCTCCAGAGAGAGGAGATCTGCACCTCCCCTGCTGCTGCCCCTGTTGAGGAAGTTGTAGACTAATCAAATTAGTCGTGTGATCATCTTCATATTTTAATAGAAAAAATGTATCTTGATTTCATGTCTTTTTAATGTGTTCTCTCTGCTTGTTTTTCTTTCCTGTAAAATAACGTAAGCTGTTCTGCATTAACATATCTGAATGTATCCTGCCACATAGGGAAGGCTAGAGACTGTCTTGTCTTAACTTTCTCCCTCAGGAGAAAAAAAAAAAAAAACAAAACCAAACCAAAAAACCAACCACCAAAATACAACAGTATTTAAGACTGACATCTCGTTTTTCATCAGGTTTTCCATATTTTGGAAGTGGGCAGAAAGGTACTGCAGAGTACTGGACACCAAAAAACATTGTCACTATTACTGCTGACACTGGGGAGCAAAGATCCCCCTGCAGAGACGTACCTAGTCACTATAAAAGAGTGACTGCACAGAAACAGATGGCAAGTATGCTACAAAAATCTTTTAACACCTCATTATGGAGAAAATTAAGTTCTGTTGTACATTGTCACAGACAAACAGCAGCAATATGTCAATCATGTTAGCCCTCTCATGTCATATTTATCAAAGTGGAACAAGTTAAAATGACAACACATACAACTTCAAGCATTAAGAAACCCATGAAGAAACTATGTAATCTCAATTACCATGAAGATGAAGCTAGAAACGTTTATTGATATATACTGAAATTTGAATATAGAAGTAATGAAAATGACTTGAATACATTGTTTTGCTTAAGTCTGGGCAGAATTAGAGCTCCAGAAAAGGAGGGCTTCCTTTTCTCTCAGTGTTTGTCTATGCTGCAGACGTACAAACTCATTCCTACAGATCTAACAGTCAGCACAGGGTCAGTACTTCCCCAGCTTCTGGGTTCCCATGGCTAACTCCATGCCATCAAGGAATACTAGCCAGAGTGGAAAAGAAGACGACCCACAAACACACATACACTTCCCTGCAACACAGGCTACAATGTTCACTTGAAAAATACCATTTCTAATAGCTTTCAAATTACTTTTTCATTTTTCTCACGTTATTATCATTAAATTGTTATTTACATAAGCTTCTCCAGCTCTCTAGTCAGTCTTCCAGTTCTCCTACAACTGCCCATAGTTACAGACCCTCAGAAATTAGCATTTACTGTCCTTTCTTCTCCACTCATGTAATGAACGATGTACTTTTCTCAGTGACTAAAATATTCCATTTATAACTTAGAAGCAAGCAGGAAGAGGCACTTCCCAGTTGTCTTCTTGCATCTGCATGCTGTGCAATACTGCATGCTAGCATTAACTGCAATCCTTACAAATATTGGATTAATTTCACTTTACACCTGAGATTAAGAAACAATTGTGTCCCTTTACAGCTCCAAGAAAAGCCCTCAGAGTTTTGAGATCAAGCATTACTGTTCCACGTTTTAAAACATTGTGTTATTATTACATGTTATTAAGTAAATGTCTTATTAATAATTATTAAGTAAATGTGTTATTAAGTTTTATGCCCTCTTCACATCTCCAAAATGTATTCCAAACTGTCAGTAAGCTACAGTGTCTAAATAACAATATCTGAACCCATCAACTCATCCCTTCAATTGTCTTATTTAGGAACACTATGCACACCTGTGCTCCCATTGGAAACTAAAAATGTATCTTAACACAAGCCAAGGAGAACATCTAGGAAGTAGCATCTCTGCTCGAGGCAGGGGACTGTTTTTCAGCTAACATATACAAATGTCTTTTAGCTTTTAAAAACAGGCAATAGTTTCTTCTGTTCAGGCCTCTTCCTGCCCTAGTATTAGTGCATTACAAAATTTTCAGTTGAAACAATAGATACATTACTTGGAAGTAAACTGTTTTAAGCACATTGCGGTCACTTAGAGCTGCTTTGAAATTAATCAGGTCTATTTAAAAAGACAATAATCAGAGGATATTCCAGGTTTAAATATAGAAAAACCTTTCACTTAAGTTGTTAGTATTTGTGATGCAGTCACTAGTTAACATATAGATCTTCAGCTCAAATGAGTCATTAATTTCACTGCAGAAATGCTGTTGATGCATCTTCCAGTCAAATACAATGTTAACTTGTTCCTTTGCCATTAGAGTGAGCAATTGAACATTTCACCCCCGACTAGTTCTTTGGCTTAAGAGTCATACTCTGAAATTGAAAACTGCTTGCTCCAACACAATACACTTCTCAACAGAACCAGAAAACATTTAATTTCATTAGTCTGGCGACACCCCCAGCTAGGCCAAAAGGAAAAAAAGCTCTACTAGGGCAGGTGGGAGCTTAAAGCTGAAATAAAACATTCAAACAATTATATGCATCTTACTGAGACACCTGAGTAAAACAGTCATCAAAAAGGACTCTATATTCATTGCCCTAAAGCCTTAAGCATTACTTTTTTCATTAGAAACTTCAGGTACTCACAACATATGATCTGTAAGCTGCTGCAAATAATGCTGAAATAGATGCTAATGACCTACCTCATACAAGACAGATTGACCCCCAAAGTAATTCCAGTTTTCCAAATTCTAGCATAATTTAACAGACCGATGGATCTCAGTAAATTTCAGGGAAGGCAGATTACCTATGTAGCCATTAGAGTCTTCTCTACACTCTACAGTAATTAATTCCAGGTTTAGAGATTAAGAAGGCCCTAAAAAGTTTCCTAATAAAAAACCAAAGCAAATCTCATTCTCAGTCTCCTAGAAGATCTGGAATAGGCACAAGTGAGCACCTGCAAGCTGACTTCACCTGCACTCTGAGATAGCAAGGTGTAAGGCAAAACAGATGTAAAGGCCAGACATATTAGTGCTAATCTTGTCTATGCTAGTACATGCTCCTCAGGCCCAAAAAGACAGTACAGATAGCAGACAAAAGAAGGAAGAAAAAAAAGCAAGGAATAGTTCAAACTACATGAAAATAGATACATTTCAAGCTGAGAGCAGCAAACCAAATGAGACTTGGATGTACCGTTCTTTCTTTGGACTATAAAAGAAACAGGAGGGAAGGAAACAGAAGTTTTCCAAAACAAACAGAAGAGGTGTTTCTTATATGTGGTTGAAAAAAGAAAGTAATCTCTATCCACTAGCAATTTACGAGTTCTCCAAATTCTCCAAGTAAAATGAGATGTGTTAACAAATAAGAAAGCACAAAATATATCAGGAGAGCATATCTACTGAAGGATTTTTTTTTATCAGAAGTAATTTACTCCACTAAATAGGAGTAAAAGCACCAAGAAGTTTAGAAAAGACTAGTCACTGACTAGGTTCCACTAAGGATTATTCTGCCAAGCTGCAACTTGCCATACAACACTTCAAACAAAGCTGTAGATACAAACTTCAACTTGAGGTGCCTCCTTCCAGCATCTTCATGGATTAACTCTCTAATACAAAGCATGATGGGAATCACTTGCTGGCACCCAGAAAGTGAGTCACCTTACCAGAATGAACTTAAGTAAAAAGAGTTTCCTCTGACAAGAAAATTAAGTTGACTTTCAAGGTCACAATAATTTCTTAGTACCCCAGAAAGCCAACTGAAGTAAGCACCACTGTCTTTATCATAATACTAGCATAGAGGGGAAAAAAGTTCACAGCTCTCACTCACCATTTGCAATCAAACTGGAAAGCTTTTTCTCCTTTTTAAAAATATAGAAACTGTAATATTATTTAATTATATTATATACATATTATAATTATATAATATAAATATAAGTTTTTATTATGTATAAAAAAAAACTTATCCTCAAAGGCTTCAGACACAGAAAAACACTGATTTGAGCATCAGAAGGAAGGTATCAGTAATCAGACAGCTTCAAACATTCACCACAGGACAAGCCAGAGAATTTAATTCAGTAATTGTATTCCCTTCACTAGATAAATTTAAGCATATACCAATTCATAAAATATAAATGCTTACATTCAATTAAGCTTAATTAATCCAAAAATACACTTCCTTGAAGATTCTCCAATAAGACTTGAACTAAAATACTAGCTAGTTAGTACTTCACAGATAAGTAACTCAATATACTTTGCTTCAGAAGATAATGAGCATGTTAATAATCTTTAGTCTCTAAAATATATTTAAAAAGTATCAACCTTTTCCACTATGATGAGGTCTCCAACTTGTATGTCTGAACTCTTAACTTGCACTTTACCTTAAAAAAAAGAAGAAATGTAATCAACTTAGGCAGACATTAATAAAGAGTCACAAGAATATAAATCCCAGAATGCAAGTTATACTTAAATACGTTATTGTTTGGTGAAAATGTTACAATCTATACAAAATGGATCTCTGATGAACACATTAATAAATAGATTTCATCTGTCTGAATAAATAATTCACTGGTTAAAAAAAGTCTAGTTTTGTAACCAGTTAGCTATTGTAGAAGTATTAGAAGAAAAAAATATGTATGGAAGATGCTCAGGTCTGATCTATAGTATCAATAACAGAGTCGTAAAACAGGAGAAAGGAGTCTTTCCCGTCTCCTACTAGACAGCACTTCTATTTCTGACAAGTCAAGAGTTGTTAGGCTTACAGTCATGGAGCATTCTCACACACATGAGTTGTTAGTCACAGCCCAGTTACCAACAGGTAGCTTTGCTTGGCCACTAAAGTTACTGATGTATTTGGCACTGTCTGGCACTTGTTGGCATTATAGTGGAAAAGAGCTAAGTCTCTCTAAAGTCAGAAGAAACGCCTGAAGATTTCGTTTTAGAAAATTAAAGTATCAAAAGCTGAAATAGAGGTTTTTCATTCTTTAGAGCTGCCCGTTCAGTAACTGCTGTGAACAACTCATTCCAAAATATACATAGCAATTTAATTCCTGTATGTTCTGTACAGTATTAATATTTGTAACACTGCTAAATTTTAACATTCTTATTTTATGGACTAAAAAACTGAGACAGAGAGGTTAAGCTGCTGCCCAAAATGCGTTATTGTTGAGCTCATTGGAATTCAGGAGTTCTAGTCCCAGGTCCTTGCTACAATTCCAGAAAAAGTTGCTTCCCTGAGTTAAAAACAACCAAAACAAACCCTTGTGGATAAACAAGTCATGACATATGGATATCCTCTTCCAAGATATAACAGGTGATAAATTCAGAACCTCTTAACTGAGGATATAAACACATATATATTCACACAGCCTGACAAGCTGAAACACACACCTATAGGAAATATCTTTTCCCATCAGAAACACTATCATGATTCCAAGCAGCACGTATCTGATCAGCAGGTATCAGATGACAATATGTCAAAACATGGTAAGGTGCTAGGGTTCTAAATAAAAATCAGACTAAACAAATTAGAACAGAAGACCCACAAAAGCACAGGATGAGCAGCAATCAGCTTGGAGTTTAATCAAAAGTATTATGAATAGTAGATTTGTCAATGCACATTCTATCATCTCTCAAAGTTATACCAAGTACAAAACAAAAACTAAGCTGGGTTCCAAATCCGTGAGACCTCCTCATCGTAACTCTCAATGACGAGAGATTAGGTAGTTAACCTCAAAAAATTCCTTATATTTACATGTGCATTTAGTCAAAGATAGTAAGATTCATGTTATGAGTAATTACTTTTGCATGAAATGCAGTTTTAAAGAGCAAGTACTGAAAGTAACAGTTGTTTTATCTTTAATTCAGTCAATAATAAATGTATTCCTGTAGCTAATTTTTAATACATTTTCCATGACAATAGCACTTCTAAAATGTGCCATGTCAGAGGAAAAATCACAACTTTTGTTTGGCCTGTCTGCAAAGTCATTTCTGAAAGCCAGTCTTTGTTATTGATAATGATCTTTTACACCAGTTGAATTTTTCAGTTGCCAAAAACACCTTACCCACACCCACCCCCAAATATAAAACAAATTATATCTTCAATCTGACTCCTAACTCTGCCATAACACATTTGTGAGGGTGAAGGGAGTAGCAGAAGACCAAGGTATAAAGAGCTGTAGCAAGAAACACTAGCAGTTCTCTACAGGAGTTTCAAGATACCTACGGAAATTAAGTTAGTGTCACACTCTCAACAATTTTTTTTTTTTTTTTAATTTAAAGTAACTAATACTGAAGCTCAACCACTAAAAGAACAGTCTGATACCAAGTCAACATATTTAGTCTGCTTAACTGCATGAGCCTGTGAATTCTCTTATAAATTCTCACGTTTTGACTAGAAGTGACTAGTGTATATACACCGGAAAAACCTCATCATGTTTACTTTGCTTTCCAAGTCTGTTAGTTTTACCAAAGGGATAGCATTTCCCATTTTGTTTTCAATTCCTCCACTAACAATTTTCATCAGTTTATCACTGTGATAATCAAGTCAATCAACTGATTATAGTTTTAACAGCCACAAAAATCCTAGTACCAGCAGCATTGTCTCAGATCTACGCAACTTATGCAGTCACGTATGATCAAAACCATTCAGAAATACTAATCAATATCAACTTAAACAATTGAATTTTCTACAGTCAAGTTCTAACAGCATCTACAGTAAAGATCAAAAGACACTAAGCCTCAGAGGACAACAGAAGGTAGAACATTCATTTGCAACACGATGTAGGGCAGACAAAAAGCAAAGACTCCTGGTGCCAACTATACCAACAGGAACCCACACTGCACCTTTGCTTGTACTCAGTCTAGCGATCCTGGGAATTTCACATTACGAACTGAAAAGTTTCCTTATCAGATCATGGCTTAGTATAACACTACAGAATACCGTCTTTATTACACACTAAACATGTCCTGTTAGAGCATCCTGTATATCCCCACACGTAAGGAAGGGGCCTGTGACATGCAAGACAGCTAATTCTACAGTGAATCTGAATGGCAAGACATATTCTATTAAAAACCAAATGCTAAAAAGTGTCAGTAATTCAAAAAGTGGTTTAAAATTTTGAGAAGTCAACAAATAACACTTTCCTTTAGACTAGCAAAAATGAGAATCATTAGATACCATTTCAGAGAACGTTAAAATAATGCAATACTACATCTTAGTGAAGATGCATTTAGCGAAAAAGAGACACTGAATGTTATTCACTGCATAAATTATTTTTGCAAACTATTTTTTCCCTAAAAACATCTCCGTAGCAAAATACTCTTCACCATCTGTGTAATTACCAATAAAAAGTCCAAAGCTGTCAGAAGTGGCTGCGCATCCAGACTTTATAGTCCACCAAGGCGCAAGGCTTTTGCCTAAAGCAACATATAGAATTATGCAGAACTGGAACATTGAAATGTGTCTGTAGTAATTCATTATACTCCCAAGATAAAGCCTTTTGAAATGAATTGCAATGATTTGAAAAACTAATGAATATCTCATATGCGCTAACAAGTATTTCACATAAAAATTTAAGAAATGAAGTAAACAAATTATGGGTATATACTATATCAGAAATGACTTTGTTTCTTTTCATTAAAAAGTGTCTCTACTACTGGAGTGCAAGCCACTCCTGAAAGAACATTTGAGAGTAGCATTTTCAAATTCTTTTTTATTTGCTATTACATCTTACCCATGGTACCTTGAGTACTGTCTGAAGTACTGCTTCTGGAGTTGGTAACAGAGGTTGTCTCTAACCCATAAATATAAAGCTCTTGAATGAAAGGAGTCAAGTACAGACCATATGAGAGTTTTACCTGGCATCTATTAGCCTGAGTTGTCAGCATAATTAGAGTATACATAATATAATGGGGAGCCAGGGGGAGGGGGGTGGGTGGTGTGATGATGCTGATCTTTCAGTGCAAGTGCTGTCCTTAGGTCCTTCTTTCAAACTCAGTCTTACATAGTGAACTGAGGTTAGTCTTTAATCACCAATATGAAACTCTAGAGAGAAGCTTCCTAGCTCCTCTCCTCTGTGTACTCTCTCCTCTTCGGTGAAATGGAAAGCCTTCGTTCTTTTTATCTGATCTCCTGGATGCTGCAAAAATGTGGAAGAAAACAGTCCCCTTGACATTTCCTCTCTTCTGGCCTCTTTTTGAAATTCTTACATGAAATTTCAAGTTCTGTTTCTGCTGTTGCTTACTGCTTCCCTAATCAGCTAGATGAAACTGATACAATTCTTTAAAAACTTATCTGTTCCGTATGGTTTAAATACCAGGAATGAAGTCATCGGTAGGTTTGAACTATTGCAAGCAATAAAGACCTCATGTCGTACCTCTAGATTCAGAAATAATGTTGATTTTTTTAATGCTGTGGCTTTTCAAAAAGCAGGACAACCTGTTCTTGAAGAACTGAAACTCTAATGTTATAAGAGGTTTCAATACAGATTTCAAATAACTGAAAAAGAATAATCACACAGTTTTGGCATATATTTTCAACTTCACTACATTCTTAAACACCCTTTAAGGATATTGTTATCCATCCTTTAAGGGTACAACAAAGACATAAATCTCATATTTGAAGCCTGGATGGAATTATTTCATTAATCTCATCTCTCCTGACATTCATTTTCTATTTTGCTTTGCAGGTTGCAAAATGAGAGTTCTGCAACACTGCCAAAAATCGTGTTAAACATTCTGAGAGTAAGTGACAGATGCATGCTTCTTCTGCAACTTGCAGTTGTGACTATTAGTTAGTTATTTTCTTCTTGATCTTTTTTTCTTCAAAACTTTCGTAACACTGCATGGGCAAACCTAACTAGGAAAGGTTCAGGGCAGGACTGCCAACTTCGAGAATAGAAAGGGAAAAAGAGTTAAAATTGTTTTACAATTTTATTATCCAATTGGCTTTTGGCATTTTAATGAAAAAGATAATAGCCTGTTTATGAACTTGAGATGATTCTTCTGTAGAATAACAGCATTTTTTCATGGGCACTTAACTGGTGATACGTAAGTGCATGAGACAAGCAGCTGCGCCGGAAGTATAATGGTCCCTTAGGAAAGAAAAACAGAAGTCCTCCCAAACCTGCATGCAGAGGTCTAAAGTTTTCTCCATTGCAGTTTCTGCTCTACAAAAGGATATGCAGGTGAGCTGCTCTGAAGCAGAAAAAGCAATTAAATTGACAGGATCTTCAATAGCAAGATAATTTCAATTCTACAGGCAGATACTCTTCCTCCCTCCAACTTTAACTTGCGTACTGACTGAAAACTGTCTCTTAAGGATTTGCAGGCTTTGATATGCAAAAAAGGAAAGTAGATTTTGCAACAAACATCTCAATAAAAAGATTAAAACCGCAGAATGCATCATACACTGAACAACTTAAGAGATTCAATACCATAATCTAGGAGAGTATACAAGGGAGAAGATTCACATGAAAGACATGGAGATGGGTACACTTAATTGACTTGCTCACAAAAATATTCAATACATTTACTGATTTGTATGTTTCATCACTTGCCACAAAGGGTTGAAAAAGTAGAAGCCATTAAAACTTCACGTGTAGCAGGTTCATCTTGACAAGTGCAAAGTTACACACAGCGAATTCACCAAGGGATGACTGAAGACAGCTTAGCCATGTTACATGACAAATAGAAAACTGCATAACACTGGATAGATATCTCATGGATCAGAATTAGTCTATGGACATTAAGCTGGCCATTGCTGCCTAAGTACAATTAAGTAACACTTAAAACAGATATCCCATTCTCCCTTGATTTCCTGCTTGGAACAGATCATTATTTTAAAAAAAGCTAAGATTTACTGATTAGAACAAATACTTATTCAAGGTCTTGAATTACTAAAAAGAAATTCTAAGTTTTTAAGAGTCACTAATGTGAATCCATCACCTTCAAAAAGCTGATACTTCTTACACTAGCAACATGCAGGTCATAAGACAACATTCGTATGTTTTACCTGTTTAGGGGTTCCTGAGGCTAAGAATGACTCCACAGAAAGTCAACACTGCTAGGCAGTCAAAGACTTCCTGATCTTAATCTATTGCAATGCTATATAAAAAGATTTTAACTTACAAATCAGCCTACCCACACTATCTTTATACAAGTAATTAATCACAATTCAAATCCCAGTAGCTTCTCTTGCTACAAATACATTTGTTTCCCTATAATAAACAAACACTTTTGCAAAACAGCTAACTAGAAGTGCTTACATTCTCATTTTTATCTTCCATAAATGATACAATTAAACCAAGGGTAACACTGAACCTTGTTAACTTTAAGTTTTCCTACTGAGCAAAGGCAACCTGCTTAACCTCTCTATGTCAGTTTCTCCATCTTTGAAACAGAAAAAATACCTATTTCAAAGAAAAGGCTGTAAAACCTACACAAGTCATAAAATCACTAGGAGAAAAAAAATGCTAGAGCAGTATAAAGTGCAGTTCCACTCTGAAAAGTGACTCTTGAGTGGCATCGATTTTCAGGCTTTTAATTAAATCAGTATCAAGTTTGTTCATTCACAAGTAACAAAGCCTTCTTTCTCCAAACCATTAGCCTGTAGGTTAGTATGGTAAGCCTAACTGAATTTTTCCACTTGAAGAGTACTGCCAATATTAAAAATTAGGTAGATTATATTGAAAGTTACTTATAACAATAGTTTGCAGAAGTGTAGTACTCGACATTAATAATTTGCACAGAAAAATACCTAAATCCTTCTCAAAACCTGTAAAAGTCTTAGGCTAACTTTATCATAGCAGGAAGTGCCATTTTTTGCCTCAAAATGATACCTTTCAGTTTCAGAATGCCTTATTATGAAAGAACCCTATATTATGAAAGAGGTGCAATTTATCCTCTATTCATTATTTCATATATGTGTTTGTAGCAATTTTTAATACAGCTTAATTTTGAGTGGGGACTGCAATAATGTTTTCATTCTTAAAATTGGCCACTGCATTGTTAGCTCATCTATCCCCCCATTGTCAACATGGGATTCAGAGTTCATTGCAAGCAGAGATCTTGAACCTTTACTTCTGTAGAATATTACGGTCTTCAAAAAAACCACAAAACAGAACAAAAGCCAAGTATGAATTCATGACAGCACTGACACCAAAACCTGAAAGTCGAAATAGACATACACATTCGTGGGTAAAAGCTGATATCCTTTTTTAAAAGAAGGGGCATTTTTAAAACTTCTTTTGAACAAGTCACTGCTCTCTACATGTCAGTTCCTGATATAACTGCTGGGCTTTACCTATATACTACTATATACTATTTTTAAATCTCTATTCTTTATCTAGAAATCAGCTGTGTCAAGGTGACCAAATCCAATTTTAATTTGACAATTTCCTTATTTCTAGGAGAAGCTACAAAATGAAAAGTTTCTCAAATACACATAACCTCATGAAATATTTCATGAGCTGGGAAAGAGGACATCAGGATTCCAAGAATTCTACTTAAATGCTGCTTAAATGCCTAGCAATTTACCAGAAACTCCAATACTAACTCTAAACAAGTTAAGTGAAAAAAGAAGCACAAAAGGCACCAAACTTAGTCCTTAAAACAGCAAACGTCAGTCTTGACATTTACATCACACTGGTAACTATAAACTATGCATGTGCTTCCAGAACTAAGAATTTCAGATTACTAACACTATTGCTGAATAGGGTAGGATTGTACTACCTATTTCAAAGGTGAATGTTCAGGGGCCTACCATAAGAGATCTAAAAAAAAAAAAAAAAAAAAAAACAAACCAGCAGGTTAAATTACAAGTTTGAAAGAAAAGCCATTAAGAGTCCATTTCTTTAAAGACTGTAAAGATCTGGAAGCCAGCAATGCAACCACTTGTGTTAAACAAATGATAGTTATCCCATTTGCAAATTTCCACAGTTCTAAATGGTGATAAAGCTATTTCAGGCTGACAAGGAAGGGAAGAACGGTAGGCAAATATTCCCTACAGTTGCTCCCTTCTGTACGCAAACTCCAGAAAACAATGCAAGTCTCCATACTGCAAGGAAGCAGTATAAATTCCTCTCAGCTGCTAGGTTATGTCATCACTAATGAGACCATTGCCTGTTTACTTACCTTCCAATTACTTTAAAAAATGGGGTAAGATTTCGGACAGAACATCCTTGTGTTACATTACAAGCTTTTAATCCATTTTTTCTGGAGAAAATATTATCCAGAGCTACTCCAAGAGTTTAGTTGCTAATTAAGACTCCCATATCTGGTAAGGTTACTCTTCCCACTGACTTCTGAGAAGAAGATATTCACCAAGATATACTACAAAGTCCAGTGAAATATATGTTGGGAATTAGTGAACAGAATTTACACTTGGCATAATGTATACCATATACTCTAACTGCTTGAGACGCAACCTCACATACCTTAACAGCTTCCCACTTTCTACAACTTTTTATGCCAAGGAAAATCCTTAACAGAGACTTCCCAGGATATTGTAGCAAAATAACTTTTGAGGGTAATAGCAAGGTCATGTTGTTTTCTAAGGTTATTCATTACAGTTTGACTTGATAATAGGTTATTCATTATTTTTTGGCACCTTTCTTTGTGGCACTCTGTTCCAAATCTAAACAGTAAAATGTGCTAAGCAACATAAAAATGGAGAGGAGTGCATAGTTTTTCTCTTATGCCCACGTTTAAAATTTACCATATCCTACCAAATTTAATTGTCACTTCACAGCTGAAGTGCTTCATTTCCTTAAAAGTCTTCATGAAAAACTGCTAAAGGTTGAGTCCAAAAAAGTCATAACTGTGATTTCTCCTTTTATTAATTTCTGGAAAGAAAACTGGCTGTTTCTAATGCATGATCATATAGATTTCAAATTATATGCAAAAACTGAAATCAGTATTTTTGATACTGAAGCTGACTGACAATACATCTTCCTTTTCTTAATCACAAATATATCCACCAAGTTTGAAAGGCTCTAGTGAATTTTAATTAGATCGTATTTCTTAGTTACTGATCCCTTATTTCCTATATACACTTGATATATAGATGACAGTGTTGCTGAGTTACTGTTTGGTATCAATTTCAGAGGAGAACTGCACTTTGAAATAATAGTACTAAACAGCAGAACGCTTCAAAAGTATATACAATTATATACATACACCTTTCCTTTACAAAAAAACAAAAAAGATTTACACCACTTCTTAAACAGATCAAGTTTAACAGTTGTATTTATCTGAGGGAAATCAAGCACTTGGTTCAGTATCAGTTTCATTCTGAATAGTGCAGCTTGAGACTATTAGTTATTTCTTTGAACTGGAAGTCTGTAAATGTATAGATAAGAAAAAAATGAAATATTTTAAGGATTTATACAAATGGTTTTGCTAACCTCGTACTGTCAGCTTGCTATATAACTGTGAGTTCATTTCCTTGTCTCTCTTGTAACGTCGAAATTCATCAACGGCTTCCCGTACCACTGTGACCGTCAAAACAAATCCCTGTCAAAGATATAATTATGCAATTCAGAATTCTCAAAGTGCTAGAATAGAAATACACATGTAGGAACAATATACAGAGTAAGAACATGTACTTAGAATATTTACTTTTTTTCCTCATTTGGGTTTTAGCGTTTTCTTCAATCTGTTAAAATATCATCTTGGTTTAGTCCAAAAAAAAAAAAAAAAATCATACTTGTACATTGTACAAATATAATTAGAATAACTACATCTCCAAATACATGTAATTTAGATATAATTTGAAATTTAAAAAATTAAAATGCTTTGGATGAACTAAAGACAGCCTTTGTAGTTCAATAAACATATTTCCCTATCTTCCACAAATTTTAGGGCTTTACCAAAATCCAAAAATTTAAGAAGTCTCCAATTCTAATTTTGAGTTCACTGCCTTTTTCCTAACAGACAGAAACGAAAAGGTAAACGGATGGCTAGTTTAGTTAATTTTGCCATCTGAAATGTAGTTATTTACCAGTACGTCACAAATATTGACAAAGAAAAAGGGGAGTTGTTCTGAAAAGCTAAGTATCTAAATGCTTTGGCTGCTGATTTCACAGGATAGCGCCACTGCAGCTTCTGCTGGAAACGCAGAGTGCACTCCATGCAACTAAGATGGTCTCTGGCCACAAAAGATGGTAAGCTAAGAACAGAACAGTTCAGGGATAAGCACAGAAGAGTTTCCTCTCTCCCATTCTAAACCTCCTCAGATATGGTCATTTGGCTTCTTAAACTCAAGTGCTCAGTCATTCTCCATCAGTGAAGGGGAAATAAGATTTTCAACAGTAAAGGGATCTTATCATTACTGTAAGTAAGATGGCTAAAAAATTCAAATATTCACAAATCCTCCAGCAGATAAGGTTCTAGATTATCTATCTAGCTTCAGACACCCACCAATACTTTCCTTCTATAGAAGAAAATTTATACCATTAGACTTCTCTTGCAGAAGTCCAACAGTTGGCCAACCTTCCCCTAAGCTCCCAGCAAGAAGAAAGGAATGAAGGTGCAGAGTCTTCCTAAAGGAGTCTTGACTAAAATTCTCCTTTTCAATAGCAAGGGCTGTTTTGCAGTTCTAGTCCAAAATTCCAAGGCTTACTCTGTTACAACCTTATAGTTAAACACTTCTCGTTTGTCCACATCAGCTACAACAATTACATTAGAAATCCGTAGAACAAAAAAGTGCCTTTGCAAAATGCATTCCTTTTCACTCCTAGGGCATAACTGAATGAGCAGTAGGGTTTTCCCCTTTTCTGGCAGCAGCATTTTCATGAGCTTTGTCACTATAGATCTTTTAGCAGCATAAAAAAGGCACTCTTGAATCACCTTCAAATATATTTGCCATTTGCACATCTCATTAACTAGACGGTAATCAAAGCACAGAATGCAAGGTGTTAATTGCAAGAATTTCCCCTAGCAGTCACCATACCTTGCTGGGCAGCTCAGTACAGCTGACCATAACTATGAGGAACAATTTAAGACAGATATTTCCCTTTTTCCTCATTTGCTCAAAGGAACTTGATACTCTTCCAAAGGGGAGCTGAAATTGTGAAGCCAATCTTACAAAAACCCCTGTCATCTTTCTTTAACTGTAAGCAGTTAAATATCTTTAGCATACTGCTTACTATCAAACTTGTATGCTTTACATCCTTTGTATGTTCCACACGAAAGAAGTCCATTTCCTACTGTGCAAATAACAACAAACCAGTAAAATACAGTCTTGTTTGAAGAACTCCAGTGCTTGATCTAAGTGTATTATGTCTGTTTGTTGTAAAAACTGTTGAAGTAAAAAACAAAAATCAAAACAAAAAACAAAGCAAAACCAAAAAACCCCCAACCCCACACACACCAGCAAAAAAAAAAAAAAAAACCAAACCAAAAACCTTTTAGCACATACTTGACTCAGTTGGTTTTTAAGTAGTAGGCTGAACAGTTTTTCTTTTCCTTTAAAATCTTGAGAGAAAATACAAGCCATGTCATAGCTACTCCTCTGATTATTACTGAAAATTTATCAGCAGTTACATGCTCTTCGAAGAAAACCAAACTTATCTGTTAAGCAACAAAGACAGCCCAATGGGTCTGACTTAAATGTTTTATATTTTCATCATACATACTGAGCCTTACTCAACATCCAATTAATCTCTTTTACCTGGAGGTTATTCATTAGTAGAAAAGCTATTCAAGTAGAAACAAGTGAGTTTAGCAAAAATGGGTACCACTAGTGCTAACTGAGATATTGTTATATTTTCAAGCTGCATGTGAAAACTGGGAAACATCATTCAAAATACCCTTGAATAAGACAAACACGTCTATACAGAACAGATTACCAATGTTTGCAAAATACAGTATTTTCTCCCTTCTTTGGGCAGGGATGAGATGCTAAGTGATTTTTTTTCCTTACTACCTCACTAACGTATAGAGCTGTATACAGCGCTTCACTGTGAAGAGACCAACTTCCAGACAAGGCTGACTTCTGTCTTTTCTTACTGGGTCAACAGCAAAGACCTTTGTAAATATCCATTTCAAATCCCACTGTTGAACAAGCTTTCTGTCTTGGAAATGTTTTTTGTTGCAGTAGAAGCCAAAAGTTGTCTGGAAACAGAGGTGTGAAGAACCTCCAGGACAGTCTCTCCATTTATTGATACTTAAAAGGACACATGTTGCAACAATTAAAACAATGAAATCAATCCAGAATATTTACTCTATTGACTTGTTAAGAATGACCTTTACTCAAGCAGTCAGCATGTCACTGTTCGTCTTGAATACCACTGAGAATAAATGCTACTGAAAAATGCCATTTTTTTAATAAATTTAGAAAATAAAGCATTTGTTCCTCCTGCCTTGCTTTTAAACCTGGGGTGGAGGGGCCAGGAGGAAGATGAAAGAGAAGGTAATGATCTAGTTACAAACAAGAAAAGAATTCCAAATCATGGGAATATAGCTGGCAGACTATCAAAAGGGCCTCCTCTGAGGAGAACACAATTTTCAAACCTTAGGAAACCTGAGTCAGAAGCAACTGGTTTGAACAGTTTCCCAAGAAAATACTGCAGAGGGCTCAATAATAACAAAACATATTGAAAGGAAGCCAGCCCAACTGGCAGGGCAATCAATTAGGAAAAGCATGTTTAATGAATAACTTATTTTCAAGATGCGTTTTCCTCCTGCTTTATCCATGGCTTAAAACATTTTATCTTAATTTTTGGGAAAAAAAGGACATGATCAAAACCAACATAGAAGGAATGCAAAAAATTTATGCTTTCAATTCTGACCTCGCGTGAAAGCAAAATAGTGAGCAAATAACAATAAACAGAGAAATTTAAACACGCAAATTACCTATGTTACCAAATAAGGTTCTCTACTAGCTGGAGGTTTTTTTGGTTTGTTTTTGTAAACCTCTCAAGTGACTAGCAGCCAGAAAGGAACACTACTCACTCAGACTAGCTGGTTAACAAAAACAGCCTCCAGCCTTTGGGGCAGGAGGAAGGGAGTAAACAACAGCTGCTGGAGTATCTGCTGTAAAATACTGTAATTTCAAGTAAGCATTTTACTTCTGTTACATATTTTAATCACTGCAGTTTACCAGATGCAAATTTATGAAGTGTACGTATACATGAACTTTTCTTCTGAAATTAAAAACCCAAAACTTCTAGTTAGAAGTATTTTTCTGTTTACCAGAGGAGCCCAGTATGTGTACAGGTAGCCTATTTTCAATGCTGGTACAAACTGTGAGCAGGACACGACGAGAAAATAGAGATTCAAGAAAAACTTGAACTGTTCATATAAAACCTAAAATGAAAAACACAAAATAGATAAATGCCTTAAAATTTGTACCCATAATGTACACAAAATTCACTTTTTTCATGATAGTGGATATAAAACCATTATATGACATACTATTATGTATGGTACTATGTAGCACAATATGCTATATATCAAACTACTACATGCACTGTAAGTTGTTTTAATATTATACTGCTATTTTTGTTGAGAAAAACCCTTCGATATTAATGCCTCTTTTCACTCTGAAAAAGCAATTTGCTAAATTTTTGATATTTTGAAAACTGGACTACATGAACTCAATCTTTACAAATATTAAATATATCAAGATCACTGTGCAAAGATTTACTCCAAAATCTTAACAGTAAGCAGAATTCAAATGTTTGTCGAAGCATCTTGCAATAATTTTATATCCACAATAGTTACCTTTATGTTTGTAAGTTAAAACAGTTTTTGAAAATTTTCTTTTTTATAGTATCAATAAAAAAAGCGAAATAAGTTTGTGAGTATCTGAACATTAAGTTTTCATTTTTAACTGCTAAAACTTTTTTCCTAAAAATACAGCACTAAAAGTCAATCTTAATCTTTCCTTAAGTACTAATACTTAAATTCTGTTTCATCTGTCTCACAATGTCTTTTTGTCTTAAAAATTTTCATATCCTGGCCTTAAATAATAATTATAAAATAAAAAAATCATTGGCATCAAATGAACAGAAGCCATTTACAAAAATATTATCCTAGTCTTTGTTATTTGAACTTCTACAGAGTAACAAAACTGAGCAGGCTATACCATGCTGCTCTGCATCACTGTGAGAATACCCTAAAATTTCAGCCCTGTCTGCAGCACATACAGAAAACTATACATGTGCTCCTTGTTACTTTTTTTCACCATGTTCCCTCAGCGCGCTCTCCTCAACACAGGCACTGAAGTTTCTCCTCTTTCAGGGCGGGAAGCTCTACAACTCATCTGCCTTCTTTCTGAAGGCCTTTGGTTCTCAAAGGGACAAAGGCTACCACGAAGTCAGATGCACTCCTTCAAAATTACCTTTTCCCACTGTTCTTAAAAATAGTGAAACTACTCAATACTCAAGAATAAATGTTGTTTAGGAAGGTAAAATGAACACTACAGAAAGGATCCAGTGATTAAGGGTAAGCGACACTGCTCTCTTTCCAAATGGCTATCGTGTGGATATCTCAGATAAGGCGGTATTCTTGTTTCCATAGCAAGACAAGCTTTTTACAAAAGCAACCACAGTTTAAGTTTTCAGAAAGTTTAAACTACAAAAAATTTGTAACAAAATAACATGGGCTTTTGAGGTAATTTAGAAGAAACACTCAGCATTAAATTTCTCAAAACATTATTTTGCAATAAATATCGGTACATAAGATGTATTTATTAATAAATGAAAGGTTTGGTCTAAACTCCAAGATACTTGTCCAAGTTTTAAGTGAAGACACAGTAACCTTATCACAGAATACACTGTCCCGTATTCTAAAGGAATGACAGATGCAGAGATTCCTCTGGTAATTAAAAGAACCGCTTCAGTAAGCGCATATTCTCAACGTTGCTTTAGTTATAATTACAATGCTAAGAACATTATTCATTTTATAGAATTTTGAATCTTCAAAGACTGCACATATTTCTTTAGTAGGCCAGGACAACATGGCACTTTCAGGACACTGGGACTTGAGAAAATGGATAATCAATAGTTTCAAAGCTAAAAGATTCAAGATAGATCAAAAAGCCACATTTAAAGAGTGTCTCCATCTTTTAATCTTACAAGTCAGTTAATATTACAATGAACCCTACATGAAAGTTGATGCTACTGGACAGATATTTATTATTCTTATCAGTCCAAAATTATTACTCAAAATTATGGAAAAACCTATGCCTTAGGGAAAAATATTCAGTGAAGTTCATTTCAAAGTGTCTTTCTGGCAGGCACAACAAAGTAGCAGTACCTCAAAATTGCCAGTTTCTTGCAAGAGTGCTACATTACTGTTCAGTTAAAGGCTACCTAAACAGCCTCAAATCAGAAGATTTTTTCAAAAGCATGGAATTCTATTCCACTGTTCACCAAAAAAACTGTAAAGCCATAAAGCGTCAAATTTTAAGTTGCAGGGAAGTCGTAGCATTCTTCCAAAATGAAGCTAATTCAGCTTGAAGCTGTCCCTTATGTTAATACTGATGAAGTTCATATGCTCATTTCTAGCAATATGTTTAACTGGTTACAAAGACTTGATATACCAGGTCAAAGAAAAGTCCGCAGAGTACTTTGGGAGGTGCAGCTCTGCAAGAGCACCCATCTTGCAGGAGAAGGGGGGAGTTAAAAAGCACCTTCCTACAAGTCTTTTGAATCCTGGCAGATCACTGACAGTTAATTCAATACAAAGCTAAACACTTCAGTCTAGTTAAGCAAATTGAAAAGTCTCCAGTTACATAAAATTGATAAAAAAATAAACTACTGCTTTGAAGTTCAGGAGAGGTATCTTAAAAACCTGCCCATCACAGAAGATATTCTTTATGGAAATTTACAGAAAAATCCTAAGCAGCTGTACCAAGACATACATGAAATAGTAAACAGAAATTGAACAAACTGGTGTAAAGGTAGAAACAGGAAGTATTTTATATAAAACTGGTAGGAAATTAGATGATATTTTGGAAATGTTACAGCTGTTTTAGCCAGTAAGTAAAATTCTATTAATCTAAACATTATTTTAAGCTTGTATTTTGAATGAAATCATGGAATATTACCCATTGCCAGCTGCAATGTTAAAAAAGATACAGCTCTAAACAGAAGACAAAACTTCACATGATGAAAATTTCAATCAGAGTAAATCACTGGAGTCAATATTTATGACTTAGTTACATTTATGGGTTTGGAACCAATACAACTCTGTTCCCTACAAATTACTTCTAGTGGAATAGCATAAAAATCAGATAGCTACATAGTATTTCTAATCAATGAAATGTTTTAATTCATGTCTAAAATGAAACTTTAGAAACATTTTATTTTCACCAATATTGGGCTTTACGTTTAGGATCCCACTTCATTTTGAAGTTACTACTGAGATACCAAATACTGCCACCAAAATAAAAATCTGATTCTGCCTATACTGTAAAACCCAAGATTTTCAAAAAAGAACAAACATTCTTTCTCTCAACAGGTAATTGCAAGCTATGGCTGATCCCTATAGGAAACATGAATCTGGTTCAGGATTTGTAATCTACACTGCAGATTTCTAGTCACAATAATCAATGGCTTACTATATGCTTAATGAATTTTGTGACCTTTAGGAAAGCATATGTGGCTTAACCAATTTCAGTGTATTTAATAATTTAAACTTCGGAAGAAAACATTTACTTCGTTCAATAGAGATGAGAATATTTTATCCGCCTGTGATAAGTGACATTCTATTTCTTTGACAGGAGATCAGTCTTAATTACAAAGCCATTAATTTTTTTTGTTTGAATAAAGAAACGTATTAGAAAGCACCTGCCAGTCATTGGACCAAAGAGGCCAGAAGAATAGAATCAATACTCTTATAAGCCAGCATGATCACTTAAATAAAAAATTTAAGACAAAGCATGTCTGTATTCAAATGTAGAAGACATTCAGTTTTTGCAACAGGACACAGGATTCTTGGACGATACTAGTAAAAGTATGAGTAAAAGCGTTTTAGTAAAGTTTCTGTCACAGCAGCATACATTTTTAGGTTTTAACTACTGAACCTTCAAAAGTTGTCTTTTCTACTGCTGTATTTCACTATAACAAATTTTTTTAGAAGTATGAACTAGACAAACTAATGTCTCTTTTGTCTTCGTATACACTGTGAACATCATAGGCAAAAAATTGAAATTAAGACACAATATGGCTCCTTAGAAAATGAAAGTGACAAAAAGACTTCCACTCCACAAAAAAAAGTATTGTCTGAAGAATTGTGTTCAAAACCAAAAAAAGATATCACTATTTTTAAAATTGCAATGAGAAATACAACTCTGAAAAGTACTAGTTTACTAAACTAGGCCTTACTTGTTGTCATATAAATTGAAGACGTGGGTTGTTTTTGTCCTTTAAGGAGTTCCCTGTTTCAGAATAAATTATTTATTATGCTTTCAATGGCAGAGAGTATGAGAAAATATCTATGGGAGTACACTGTGATTTTCAACTACTTATTTCTCAATTGAAGTCAGTGCTTTGTAGTATTTTCACAACTGACTGTGGAGAAGTGCTTCTGTTTTAAAAAGAGGATTACAAATTTCTAATGATGAATAGAAAAGTACAAGGAAACCCATCTCAAATTTCTAAAGCTTCACTGAATTCCAACCACTCAATCATACACACTGCACTTCTTTAGTAAATATCCCTTTGAAAACAAAGCAATTCCAAAAAAAAAAAAAAAGCAGCCTTGCTCTCAACTGTCAATTTTAATTGAAGACATTGAGGTAAATGTAAAAAGAAAAATAACAATCTGGGTAAATAAAATTATCTTTTGCAGAACTGTCAAAAAAACACTATAGAACATGTAGTCAGCGCAACACCAAGAAATGGTTAGTAGCCTTACCCCAGGTATAAAGGTAAAGACGTTGTATTTTTGATTTTTTATGGCATTTTTGGGGTATTTTTCTTCACACTTTTCAGGACACCCAAGCCACACTGTGCGAGCCTTCAGCTCTTTCTTTCTTCGGCAAATGTTTATAAGCCAATCAGAACAACTGAAAAGAAAAACAATTGTTTACTTTAAAACTAAACTTTACTATATGCAATTACTATTTCCAAACCTGGAATCCTAAAGGCAAATACCAAAGAAAAACAGGCTTAACAATTTTTGCCACACCGAAACAAGCAAGCATGATGTTGACTTGTAATATTTAGGGCAATTGCACAGTATTCAACTCATTCAGACATATACATACATAAAAACTTGCACATTCTTTACAGGAAAGCCCAAGAAAATGACGACAAGTTTCATTTGACACAGGTTCAAAAAATTCTAGTTAATACAAGTCTGCATTAGCAGCAACTAAATTCTCTCACCGTTAAATAATTAACTGATCCATCATACCTTACAGTCCTTTGGCTCAACTCTTTATCTTGTATGACTGATACTGAAATTATGCTAATGATTGAAGACGAAATAAGGCTTCTGTTAGATAAAGTTAGAAAAATTTCAACAGCTTTGTATACAATTACCACATAATTGGTAAATCTTAGTTTCCTCCGTAAGACTGCCTATAGCAGACATAACAGGGAAGCATACCTAATGCCACACTGTCAAATGTTTTCAGCCAAAAAACCCAACGATATAAATGCAGATCGCACAAAGATCAGCAATGGTGAACTTCAGTTCACAGCAAGAAGGAAGAGTGCTGAGGAGGGTTTAAATTGTGTGCAACAAGATAGACAGGAAGAGCTCACAGCCACCTTTAAACAACTGCAATTTGGCCAAGGACACAGGAATGATGGGATGAGATCACAATGTAGGAGGAACAAAAGGCTGTGAGGCTCAGCAGACTTTTAAGTAACAACAATAAAACAAGAAACAAACATGGATGCAACTCAACTCACATAATATAATCAGCCTAAGACTTGCTAGGACTATCCACAGGGGCAGATTATTAACACAGATGAGTACAGATGGGTTGGAAAGAACTGGTAGTGTGGAAAGAAAAGCAGGTTTGCCATATATCCTTGTGTTATATGCCATATATACTTGTTTTATAATCCCATAAGTTAAAGGAGAATTTCTCTGCATTTTTTAATACTAGGGGAGGTGCCTTAATCATGTTGGGAGTGTTTTAGGCAAGTGAATGAGGAAGACGGAGCAGACAGGCCTTCTGTGAGCACCTACTGCAGCTGAAGCACAGACCTAGCTGGTCACAGTGGATCTCAGCTACATCAACAGGTGAAGTTGAAGGTGAAGGAGTGTCACACATTTTCTAGTGAGGTTTTTGAATATACTGACAATATTTTTGATGCAGAAAAAAAAACGTAACCATTAGGAAGCTCTTATAAATTGTATTCAAACCAACAGAAAGGATTTTGCTGAGAACAGGAGAGGAAAATTAATTGTTTCCTGGATGAATTCTGTATAGTCAACCTATTTGTATGTATTTGTACACACCTGAAAGAAAACAGAGTCATAACAAACACTGACATGTCAAGAATAACTTCTAAAATGGAACTAATTTCCCTCTGAGAAGAGCCAGATGCACTACTGCTTGAGAGTACATGTCCTCTCGACTCCTGGGGCTTTGAGCACCCTGATCCAATGAAAGATGCCCCTGCCCATGGCCAGGGAGGTTGGACCAGTTGATCTTCAAAGGTCCCTTCCAACCCTAATCATTCTATGATTCTATGTCTCTAATAAAGCTTAGCTCTCAGGATATTTCTCGTAAGGAAAGTAAAAGAACATATTCTTGGAATTGACACACTTGGAAAACTCATAATTGCAGAGTAGCTTGTTATAAATCCAAAATAATTTCAGTGAAGTTCTGCAAAGCTTTATCTAGAACTTACTGGGTAATTGACTATCAAATATTTCATTTTACAGACAACAAAAAGCTAGAAGAGACAGGAGTACATGCAAAGAGGAGAGGAGATTTCAAAGCTGTCTTGACAGATTGGAAAAACTACTACCTGGAAGAGACAGAACGCAGTTAAATAGGCAAAAGCACAACATAGTACATTTACACAGAAGTTATCAACTACACAAATACAGAATTGAAAAAGAGTTAGTAGATGGCAGCTTAGAACAGAAGGACTCAGTTACTGCATGAGAATGATATACATGTGCAAAAAAAGGCATATATCTGGTCAGCGTGGACAGGCATACTGCTAGCAAGTCATGAATGTATTCCTTTTTCTCAATCCAGTGCTAGCAAGATCTCATTTGGCTTACAACACCATTTTGAATACGAAATTTCAACAAACAGGCCACTTGGGAAAACAAAGACCACACACAAGAGCAACAAAACAATTACAGGTCTAGAAAGCAGGGCAGGTTTGTCTACTAGATACACCAAAAGAAACAGAATTGTTCAGAGAAGGCTGAGTGTGGACCTAATATGGTTTCAAGTATGTAAGAAACAGCTGCAAAGGGGAAAGGGAGAATTATTTTCTACATCCACCATGATTAAGTAATGACGGACTTCAACCGTGGCAAATAAATAAGGCAAGGGGGATAGACATTGAGTAAATGCTTCTAGCAACTAGGGTGGAAAGAAACACTTAAGGAGGCTGGAATTGCTACCACTGCAGGTCTCTAAGATCTGGTTAGATCAGACATAAGTGATAGGTGTAATTCATCCTGTGCAGGCAAGGAATCGACTGGATGACTTCTTAAGGTCCTTTCCTATTCTGTTTTTCCACAATACAGAACGATGGTACATACAAATATGCAAGGAAGGAAGGCTGATAGTTAGCTTACATCACCACAGTGCCACTTAAAGTGTTCTTGTCTGTAGCTTGCATTACCCCAGGCCTATTACAAACTGATTTTGCCAAAGAACAAATGGAATTTGAAGTTGCAGGCTCTCTTTAAAGAGAAACTAGAAGTTGTGCAATAGTAAAATCATTCAAAGCAACATTGACTTTGTTATGGAAATGCCACTACACCAATACTCACAAGCTGACATTTAAAACACTTCAATTTTAAATGCTGGATTCTTAAGATTTCCTCCCTGAAGCTATCGCTATGGGATGGACATCAATTTGGTTTGATCCTATGTAAACATGCATTTTATTTTTGTTACAAATACAAGCCCGTTCAGCAACTTTTTCCCATCCCTTTTAAATAGCGACAAAGGATTATTCTATTGTAAAAATTGTAACAGCGTTGCAGACCAACATTCAAAATTCAGCCCTGTTATTTAGTAACATACACGCCTGAAAAACCAAGTTACCTTGATCGTTACTTAAATTTGTCTTTAAAGCAAAATGAACAGCAGTCTTTCCATGTCATGGTTCCACAATCAGTTTAATGGCTGTGAACCTGCTGCTGCTGAAATGGTGAGTACCACCCTCCTCCCACAACAGAGGTGTGGATTCTTGCCCCTTCCCTTGTGCTGACACAACTACTCATGCAACTGCACGGGTCAACCAGATCCACAAATTGATCTGGCTGTAAACTAACACAGAATAAAAAGGGGGACTATTTTCAGTTAGATCCACCCCTTATCTTTAAAATCTATGAACCTGTAAAAACAGTTGAAACAACGCAGGCTATGTGCTTGCAGGAGAAGGTGGAAGGATTCCACTTAGTGCCAGCTTGGATTTACACTTGATAAAACTGCTCATGGAATTAAAGCTTTAAACGTATTAGTTTCCAGGGCAGGGGGGTGGAGAGGACAATACAAACGGAAGAGACAGCTTAGCTGTACAGTGAGAAGTGTCAAGACAGATCTGTGGCCAAAAAAGTTCCAAGGAAGATAATTTTTTCTGGGGAAAGTGAACAAGCATGACAGATTCTGTCTACAAGCCCGTAAACAGAAATTTCCTGACAGCCTTTGAAATCTTGCTTTGCTTAAATCAGTTGTTGAATTCAAACTGTAAACAGACTGAACATTTTACTAGGCACAGTCTCTTTTGTAGAATAATTTCGTCAGACACTGAGGACTTTTCTACTGCTAAAATTAAACATTTGACTAAAGCAACTGAATTATACTGCCTTCCTTGCCACAGAGTTTCCCCTTCTTGAAACTACTTTTTCCATTACAGATTGACAGAGAAGCTGAAACAGATGCCATAATGACCATTAGTTTATGAAATGCCAAAAAGTACAAACACAAGAATGCTGCCTGACTGGGAAATAACTGTGATACCTTTGATAAAAGGTATTTGACTGACACAGAGCTAACAACACAAGTTCTCAGATGCAAGAAAATCTCAGATGATAGAAATATTGCAGGTTATACCCAAATCAGTATCATAATGGTTCAGATGAGTTTTACTACCTTAAAAGTAAAAATCAGTTAGGTTCTGCCATTTACAGTCTCAGCAGTAATCACTGTTACATCACAGGAAGATTAAGAGGTGGACATGCTGGCCTCTGAAATCCTAATCAATTTACATTAATTCAGATTTTTAAGAACAATGAAGTCTACCTGATATTTTTGAAACTCAGATTATCAACACCCAACACCCACTCAATCTGTTCTCAAATTAACATTCCTCAATACAGAAGCTATTTTTGTGCAAGGGTATAGACCCTTTCATGGGATTTTTGTACCCAATAAATTTGTATGAAAATAACATCAGGAGATAAATCAGAATAGCATTCTCCGACCTTCAAATATTCTAAAAACATAATGTAAGATGTAGCATGATCAAGACACACTGAAATCGTTAATGTAAAACCACACCTTATGCTATGGATTCAGCGATTAAAAATCACATTCTTGTTCACTGATTTAAGCATTTATTTCAAATGCCCTTGCCTAGAAAATACAACACATGCACAGAAAGCTCTTTTTCTAAAGGTAGCTATAAGCCATGATGCCTGTATCAATACAACAGATTGTATATATGGAGAAATTAATTGATAAAGTAACTTTAAGGTATAGCTATTAAATGGCTTTTTACCAACCTGTTTCCTAACGTACTTTTTATTTTAAGGAACAATAACCACTGCCTTCATACTAGTAACTGATGCCATATTAAAAAAAAAACTGGAGTAACTGTTGAATAAGAACCCTTAACTTTTTCATAAATAGAGCCTATCTCTCCAAGTCAAAAGCTAAAGTAAAAGTCTCAACTGACTCTGCAGCTCCAATAATAAAGGCTTTTTTTATTTTCTCTTTTCATTACTTTTATCCTACAAGCTTAACTGCCAGTATCTTTCACAAAACAGCATTTTCATCAGAATGGAAAGATAATATAAAAGCTCTATATTGTCTGCAAGGGTCAGCTTTTCCTTATTAGGTTTTAAGTAGCAGAAACTAGTTCTGCAAAGAAAACATACTGTAATTATTGTACTCAACAGGTAGCTTCAGTAATCAGGCCAAAAGCAACACAGTGGTCATGTCATTCTTAAAAGATCAGCATTTTCCCATGCTTCTGCATAACAAATGCGTTGCAGATTAATTGAAAGCGTACAGGCCATCTTAGAGCCCAAATTAATCCGAGCATTTGATATCCCCTTCACTTCATATGGAAATGCCATTCAATGGCACCATTTTCATAGGGACAAAGTGTTTTTTGATAACAAGTGGAATGTAAATCTCATGAGAAAGAAATCAATCCAGCCCAAAGAACTCCAGAGTATTGATCTATGTGCATTATAATTTCACAAGCTTGAAGAGAATTTGTAAGTTAAAGGGGAAATGATTACAGCCACAAAACAGCTGCTATATCACAAAGTTTTCTTTTAACTGTGCTATGAAAGCAAGAAATAAGCAGTTTCTGAAGTTAAAAGTTATATTGGTTGAATTAAGTCTTCAGTTTGTTCAAAATCAAAGACAACATTTGATTTAATTATGATTTTTTTCTTGCAAATGTAAAAACTTTAAAGAGTTTGCAAAGATTTGCAAATAAAGTTCATGCCATTCAGTTCCAATCAACAAGTCTATTGTCTAAACAGAAGTTAAAAGCTGAATAAAGGATTTTTACGCAATCAATTTTAACATACAGTGAACTTTGTCAAACCTTCTATATTTGCTCCTGCCAAAAGGGTGAAACTTTTTCAACTAAACAGTAAGTTTGTGATGTAGCAACAAAAATCTATAGAATATAACATCCTAAAGCTGCAAAGTAAGAGATGGAAAACTTCCTCTCACAAAAGTGAGATTAATCCTAACAATGCAAGACAGACAAAAAAAACTAGTGGGTATGGGGGGTTTTGTTTGTTTGCAACAAGTAAAGTGATTTTGAACACAAACACAAAACTTTCACTGAGAACCCAGAAGAAATCAGGGGCCCCCCTGAGCTTGGCTCCAGACAAATGCTTAATCTTTTATTGTGTTCATCTTTCTGTCACAGCTTTGAAAAATTTACAATTTAGTTTAAAGCACAAAAGGAAATTCTGGATGTGGAAGCTGAGATTTCAACCTCACCCAGTCTCAGGTATGAGATACTAATTTCCATAAAAACAAGTGAAATTTTAAATTCTGTTCAACTGAACAGGTTTCAGACTGCTATGCTGTATTTAATCTCACATTACACTTAAAAGAATGCAGATTGGCTTCTGGAAATAAGTTTCAGTTGTTTGCATAACATGTATAATCCACCATCACCACACATGAAAATTGTTTTCTCGCATGTTCCTCTCCATTTCAAGTGTGAAGGCATCAACACCCAATTCTATCCCGAACTGGTACTTTACACCACATAAAAAGTGTAACTCTTTCTACTACACAGTGTAAGTAATAACTCCATGTATGACAATACAGTAGCCTCCAGGTTTCCTGTATGATTTTTTGCACGATCCTAGGCAACTTTATGAACAGCAAACAGGCATTTCAAAAACTCTAGTATTCTGTGGGGCCCAGCAAAAATTCATGAAGTTTTATTACAATGAGAAACCATCAAAAAGAATAACTTAACACTGACTGCACATCCCTGACTTTTATCAATAATAAAGCCTCAGAGGCCCAGAAGAAACCTCTCTATCACCATGATGTGTATTCAAATACTCAGAAGTGCTCACCCAAGCTGAGGTTTTTATTCAGCCTGACTGGACCAGTAGGTATGATACAATGGGATTTCACCTTCTTTCCAGCTAATTTTCCCCATCTCATCTAAGCAAATGTCTGCACCTTTCTTCTGGTAGTATCCTCTGCCTGGTAATATCCCACTGACATTTCAAGCTTCTGCTGGGATCTGGAGGTCTTTTTTTTTAATAGAGATTTTATTTTTACCATGAAAAATGAAAATTATCTGCTATGATGTTCTGTTACAGAAAACACTAATGTGATTAAAATGCCGCTAAGTATAAATACAAGACTGAATGGACTCTTTATTGTATCCATATTCAGTTGAGGAAATCAGCAAAGCAGGTCATACTCCTCTAAGTCCTCTTTCTTAGTGAGGGCTTTTCTTTTACACACTTACATTAGCAGTAAAATATGTATAACACGTAGCAAAATAATGAATCCATAATGCAGTTTCCTTGCTCTTTTCATTCTCAAAAATTCATCACAAATATGGCTCAAGTATTTTAATTAATAAGTTCTAAGTTTGAAAGTTTCTAGGCTTAAGCTCCACTTAAAGCTAAGATGTTTCTACCAATTTTAAAAAGCAAGCAAGAACATGAAGTTTTGCAGTCCTCAGCATTAATGACACTTTCTTGTGACATTCTCTTTGATTGTTAATTAGTTCCAACATAAACTCATCCTGCAATCACCTGCCTCAGTCCAAACACTGTAAATTCTCTCTCAGGGAAGCTACAGGGTACAGTCTTTACTAGTCTACCTGTTTTCATGAAACTTACAGTAATGTAATCACAGTAACTAATACTCACTAGTACTTAAAGACCTGAACTTATCTAAAGTATATTGTTTGAAAGGTATCTCAATTTCAAGATATGTCCAAAAGATTAACAGCCTCTTTAAATACTTAAAAACAGAAACATTGCTTCCAAAAGTCATTTACATATACAAATGGTGCTTCTGCAAATTTTGCTACCTTACTTCCTTCCTGGTACTTTCCAAACATTTATTCCCTATAATAAAGTTAATAATCCATGAGGTTTTGATAAATCATTATAGAAAAAAAAAAATAAATCAACACAGATTGTATTTTTCTGCAAATAGTAAAGCTGTATAACAAAATTATTTCAAAACTAAAGGTGCACAAATATAGCTTTCTGTAGGTAAAACAACAGCATCAGGCCTCTTGGAATTTATTAAGTGCCATGAAAGCCAGCTATGCAGACTTCTACCTAAATCAATTCTAAAATCATCTGCCAAAAAAGGCTTTAATCATTTAAGTTCACAGAAAACTCTCCACTCACTTTGCTTGACTGATTCTCACATTTTATCCTTCAAGATAGAAAAAACCCATGATTCTTAATTATCCTAACAGCAATCTCCACATTTACAAATTTGCTAGTAATTCATTAGAAAGTTACTATTGCAAGGCAAATGCATAGAATAATATTTGTGCTAAACTCTGCTCTATTATTAGCACAAAAATTATTCTAAATAATAACCAAATCACAAGAGCCAATTCCAGCTGTAATTCACTCCAAGGCCATCAGTTACACGTATTCTTTAACCTTTAAAGTTGAAGTGTTAACTAATCACTAGTTAATGAATTTGCTTTTTCTTTTCAGCAACATCAATAAAATTTATATATTTTCAACGTAACACACTAATGCCCTCAAAAGTAAAAGAAAGTTTTAACCCCTCTACCCTGATGTGGTTTTGCATAGAAGTGAGGACCAGGCTTATATGCCATATTATGGACCTCAGACTAGTACAAGTTTAGTACATGATCTCTCTTAAAAGCCTCTCTTTTTCTTGCAAGTCAGCAAAGCAGAGAAATATACAGCAGCAGCTTTTCAGAACCTTTTTTATTAGCTGCTGGTAATGTCCTAGTAGGGAAAATGCAGGCAAAGGAATCAAAAGGTGCATGACAAGCAAATTATTGTGTTCCCGTACTCTGCACATATCACACAATACACAGTTACTATTTACTTAATTCATTTAATAGTTTAATAAAAAGTACTGGTATGCAACAAACCTAGTGCAAAGGAACTTCCAGCCACCACAGATAAACCATTCTAAGCCTCTTCTTCTCTGAGAAATTCTGGCTCTTGGTAGAGTATGGTAATCACTCTCATCATTTTCAAAGCCTTCTTCTGACATCATTAATGGCATTTCATCCAAATGAGAGGACTCATCTTCCACTTGGTACCTGGCAAAATGAAATAAAAACACTAAATAGCCAATACATTATTTTTTATTACGAGGAATCTCCTAAAGTTATGTTAATTTTTGCCATATGGAATTTTATGAGAGAGAGATTTTCATCTAAACGTTTCAAGTATTTGTACTAACACATCAACAAGATATTCTGATTTGAGTTTAAAATGTCTAATACAGCAAAAAGGCCTGCAATCAATCATTGTCAATCATAGTATAAATCATTCCAGGGAAATTCCTGTTTCTTATATAATTTGTACATACAGAGCTGCAACTTCATACTTTTCAAAGGATGCTTTATAAGATTTTGTTAAAAACAATTTACTCAACAAAACTTTATAGCAGATGCAAATGACTGAGTTTGCATAGAAGTACAGACTTCATATTTCCACTGAGCTTCTTCAACTTGCTTTCCTGATGTCTCTTCCTGTGCACGCAGGCCTCTATTTGAGTCACGCTTTCTGCACAACCCATCAGTATCTTAGTTTTAATTACTAAAACATTATAATTCCTTTTATAATTCTACACAAAAGCATTCAGTGAGTCAAAACAGATTTGCCTGTGGGACCTATGGAAACAACACTAAGCTAACAGCGGTCCTTTCCTCTCCAGAAACTATTCTTCAATTTTACATTTCTGGAATGCTTTTTATGCCAAGACAAAACACTGGAATATTCGATAAGAAAATTCCCCTAAGTGCATGTAAATTGAGTATCTTATTCAGTTCATATTTTTATACCATGGGGAAGATGACTGAAAGAAACTGCACTATTACTCAGGTTTCCTTTCACAGACTATTAAAAGGACTAATAAGGATATTGAACACAAAAGCAAAAACTTTTAAATATATAAAAATATTACTCAATACTATTGGTAATGGTAGTTAAGCAGTCTTTAAATAGGAATAGCTGATGAAAAAAGTATCTGACCAGAATAAATCAAAAGATATTCTGCATATGCATTTTTAAAATTTCGGAAATACTTTACAGTTCCGAAGACTAGTAGACTACCATCAATCTATTCTTTGTGTAATCTGTAATTTATCTACCTTGAAATTATTCTCCACTACTCCCAGTGCAAGAATAATTCCTAGAGCTCAGGAGGGAAAAAAAAAAAAAAAAAAACCACACACCACAAAAAGCAAAACAAGAAAAAGGATTGAGTCACAAAAAAAATTATGAGTGTTTGGCACAGAATCAGTAGGTTTGATTTTTATGAAGCTGTATTGTACAGTCATCTCTTACAATGTGTGTCCTGGGACTGTCCCATTTCCCCCACAGCAATGTAAAAACAATCTATATAAAAACACTAATTAACAAAACCAAAAATCCATTCATTTTATGTGAAAGAGCAGCTGGAGTGCATGGAGCTCTGCCTGGGGATGGATGAGGACCCAACTGAGAGCTTCTGGGTTAGGATTAAAGAGAAGACAGGTAAAGGTGACATTATAGTGGGTGCCTGCTACACATCACCTGAACAGGAAGAACAAGAAGATGAGGCCTCTTACAGACAGATAGGAACAGCCTCACGTTCATAGGCCCTAGTCTTCATGGGGGACTTCCACCACCCTGATATCTGCTGGAGGGAGAACACAAAAGGACATAAGCAATCCTGGAGGGTCCTGCAATGATTTGACAACTTCCTCCTTCAAGTAATTGGAGGAGCCAACGAGGAGAGGTGGTCTGCTGGACCTCATACTCACCAAGCAAGGAGGGGCTCATTAGGGATGTGAAGGTCAAACACAGCCTTGGCTGCAGTGACCATGAGATAGAGGAGTTCAGGATCCTGCGGGCAGGGAGGAGGGTGGCAATCAAGCTCACAACCCTGGACTTCAGGAGAACAGATGTGGCCAAGAACTGCTTGGAAGACTCCCACAGGATAAGGCCTTGGAGGGAAGAGGGGCCCAAAAAAGCTGGTTAGTATTCAAGGATCTGCTCTTCCAAGCTCAAGAGAGCTCGATCCCAATGAATAGAAGTCAGGCAAAAATGCCAGGAGGCCCAATAGGAGCTCCTTGTTCATCCTGTCCAAACTCAGCCACAAAAAGGAAGCACACAGAGAGCAGAAGTAAGGACAGGTAACCTGAAAGGAATACAGAAACATTGTCCAAGCATCCAGGGACCAAGCTAGGAAAGCTATAGCCCAAATGGAATGGGCCATGGGATGTCAAAGACAAGAAGTCTGTTGAGTACACAGGTGACAAAAGGAAGACTAGGGAAAATGTGGGCTCATTGCTGAATGAGACAGGGGACCTGGTTACAAAGGACATGGAAAAGGCTGAGGTACTGAGTGCTGCCTTTGCCTCAGTCTTTACTAGCAAGACTGGCTTTCAGGAGTCCCAGATCTCAGAGAGCACAGGGAACGGGTGAAGCAAGGAAGATGAGGATAAGGTCAGGGAACACTCAAGCACACTGGATATATATAAGCCTATGGGCCCTCAGGGGACGCACCCATGAATGCTGAGGGAACTGGCAGATGTCATTGTGAGGCCACTTTCAATAATCTTTGATCAATCCTGGCAACTGGGAGAAGTGACTGAAGACTGGAGGAAAGCAGATATCACTCCTATCTTCAAGGAGGGCAGGAAGGAGGACCCAGGGAACTACAGGCCTGTCAGCCTCACCATGCCTGGGAAGCTGATGGAGCAGCTCACCCTGGAAACCATTTCCAGGCACATGAAGGACAAGAAAGTCATCAGGAGTAGTCAGCACGGCTTCACCAAGGGGAAGTCATGCTTGACCAACTTGATAAACTTCTACTATGAAATGACCGGCCTGGTAGATGAGGAGAGAGCAGTAGATAGTGTCTACTTGGACTTCAGTAAGGCCTTTGATACTGTCTCCCCTAAAATCCTCATAAACAAGCTGTTGATGCAGGGGCTGGATGAGCAGACAGCGAGGTGGACTGAAAACTGGCTGAACAGCCAGACCCAGAGGGTAGTCACCAGTGGCACAAAGTCTAGCTGGAGGCCTGTAACTAACAGTGTACCCCACAGGGGTCCATACTGGGTCCAGTCCTGTATAGCATCTTTTAGTGATGTGGAGGACGGGGCAGAGCACACCCTCAGCAAGTTTGCAGATAACAAAACTGGAATGACTGTCTGATAGGCCAGATGGGCATGCTGCCACCCAGCACAAACCTGACAGGCTGGAGAAATGGGCTGACAGGAACCTCAGGAAGTTCAGAAAGGAGAAATGCAAAGTCCTGCACCTGATGAAAAACCACCCCGCACACCAGCATATGCTGGGGGCCACCCAGCTGGAAAGCAGCTTGGCAGAAAATGACCTAGGGATCCTGGTGGACACCAGGTTGAACATACACCAGCGATGTACCTGTGCTGCAAAGAAAGCTACCGGTATCCTGGGCTGTGTTAGGCAAAGTCACCAGGCCAGCAGGTCAAGGGAGGAGATCTTTCCCCTCTGCTCAGCACTGGTGAGGCCACACACTAGACTCCTGTGTCCACTTCTGGGCTCCTCAGTACAAGAGAGACACGGACATACTGGAGAGAGTACAATGAAGGGCCATGAAGAAGATTAAGGGACCCAAGCATCTCTCCTATGAGGAAAGGCTGAGAATGCTAGGACTGTTCAGCTTGGGGAAGACAAGGCATGGGCAGGATCTTATTAATGTCTATAAATACCTGAATGGATGTTGCAAAGAAGATTGTGCCAGACTCTCTTCAGTGGTGCCCAGTCACAGGATGAGAGGCAATGGGCACAAACTGAAACACAGGAGGTGCTGTCTGAACATCAGCAAATACTTTTTTACCATGATGATGACTGAGCACTGGCAAGGGTTGTCCAGGGAGGATGTGGCATCTCCATCCTTGGAGATGTTTAAAAGCTGTCTGGACATGGTCCTGGGCAACCAGCTCTAGGTGGCCCTGCTTGAGCAGGGGGGAGTTGTGCTGACACAGAACAGCACCCTGAGCAGTATTCAGTCCAAAATCTTGACAGACAAACCCAATATTTTAAGAAGAAAGTAACATTGCAAACACCAGGACTAAGCATGAAAAAGCGCCATCACTGGATTTGCATGTTCTCAACTTACTGTATATTTAATACAAAAATCTGAAACCATTTTCTTTTCCCCTAGATTTTCTGTGTTGTGCCCTGTTGTATACAGGAATATATTAGAGCAGTTACTAACCTTCTTGGATGCCAGAAAAATACAGTTTAAAACAAACATGAAAAACTTGATCTTCACAAATGATGCTACTTGCAAAAAGCTGCATCTGATGTTTAGTTTAATACAGCAATCTGGCACTATGTTTTCCATTCCCATTACTATCAACCATCATTAAGAAAAAACACTACACAAAAAATTCTCTTCCCAAAACAGAGCAGTTATTACAGGTTAACATGTATATTATACCAAATTATATGGATTACTCTCAGAATAGATTAATTTTAACACTAGACAATAAAACCACTGCTTAGAAAAAACTTAAGACATTACTTTATGCTAAGACTTGCAGTAAGGCAGGCCTGTGTTTAAATAGATTCATATTCAATGCTTTTGTAATCTCTCCAGGTTAAATTTGCAAGTTACATTATCACGGTTTTAATTTGGAGCTTTCCGTTGCATTGTGTTTTGCTTTTAGACATGCAAACAATTAATAGTGTATTTGAAACACCATCCAGTGAAATCACAATCTGCTAGCTGTACTGGAGTACACAGCAAGATATTGCAAAGTAACAGATTCCTTTTACTTCTGGACAAAGTTAAGAAGTATCTGATTCAGAAAATAATATCCTCTACGTACAAAGGTAACACAGCAAACATGGTTAAAGAGTCTCTCTTGAAGGAACACACTAATGCAAAAGAATTATGGGAGAGAGACTTGGCTGAGAAACACATTCAGAGACATGCATAATATTTAAGTCTACTCTTGCAAATGTGGTAATATTTGCAAAGTACGTTGATGTTCTAATCATAATTTCTTTAAGGTTTTTTTGCCATTATATTATAAACAAATATTTTTTTTCCCCA